GTTGTCATGGGTGATGCTTTATTTTAGTTTATTATGTAGAAAACAAACCAAAACAATCAAAATCCTCTCTTCATGCTCTGGTCTGTATCGGAGAAGTTTATCCACTTTCAATATCTAAATCTGAAAATAGAGAAGCTGCTTTGTCACAAATGTTCAGTACTCTTTAAAAATGGAGAAACGATTAATAAAACCAGAGCCTAAAATGATATTGTAATAATGAGTTGACAGTATACAAGTATAAAAGTTCAAAAGTACTGTACAAGGTGTAATTACTGTATGGACAAAATGGAAATGTGCAGTAAAGGTTAACATTCATTACAGAGCAAATTAAGCATCACGTGAAAATCAATGAAAAGTGTAACATGAACCAACAGTGAATTAAAAGTAGCTGAATGGCACAGAGTGATTTTACAATAATAACAATAATTTTAATATGTTGTCCTCCTCATACAAGCATGCAGGTGTGAACAAATGATTATAACCTGCTTTTAGTACAACTACTGCAGAGGCTGGAACGGCGGAAAGAAAACACCTCTACAGCGTCAGAAGAATTAAACGTGACGGAACTGGGACTGTTGTACTGCCATGAATTTAGTTGTACAAATGTACAGTGAATGAAGCGGTAATTCAGCGCACGGTGGAAAATAAGAAACACTGAAATACAAAGCTGTGGATATATGGGCTCGCTCTGTAACAATAGATCTGCTATAATGACCTCCCTGAGGACTGTATGCAGTTAAGCCTCGAGTTTTTAAAATTCACCACATTTTTAATAAATCAGGCAGAAGATTGTAACATTAGTATGCAAAGAAAAACAAAGATCTCATGATTTGATGACATCATTGGTTATGGATTATGTCTAATACATGTTGGTGATCTGACATCCTAATAAAGACATGCTACATAGCCCTGTATTGATTTTGTATTTGTGTGAATCACTGTATGAAAAAATAACTTCTTGTGACTTCCTCCAGGTAACTGCTGCTGGCATCTCCTATCATCTGATCCATCAGGGAGACATCCAGTCCTGCAGGAGAACGCTGCTTCTCCTCCTGCTGTGTGTCTTAGGTTCATGTTTGCTGCTGACTCAGCTGCAGCGGTGACAGGAATGAGGGGGGAGGAGGAGAGCTGAGGGAGACACGCGGCGGCTCTAAATTGCTTTTATATAAATCAATGGCTCATTTTCGAGTAAACCTCACGTCCAGCAGCAGATGTTTGGGTTGCCACCTAGCGGCTGCAGACTCCCAACACAGCTGGATTGTGCAATGTAGTAGTGCTCCATTTTGTCTGCAGCTTACACTATTTCTGACACCTTTTTTTTT